ATCAATCAAATGAAGACTATTTTTTCCCCCCCCTTGCAGTGAGCGTATTATTTCTCAAAGTTTTCCCACTGTTGTTGAGGCACAGATTCCAACGCTTCGCAATATCGTTAATATCAGCCTCATACAATTTCTGCGGTTGCTGTTTGAACCGCCATGTGACAGCCTCTCACACTTCATCGTCCGTGCGTAGACGCTATGCTATGCTGGACGCGGATTATGGCGTGAATTGAGCTATGACTGATTCCCAAATTTGCAGTCGATTCATCCGGTGAAACGTTTCTGTCGCTCCGTATGAGCTCGCCCCCTTTGGAGTTCATTTCTGTGGCGATATCGTTGACCTGACCTGGGCGTGCGCCATCTCTCGCGCCCCCTGCGGGAACGTTTGCACCACTTGTAGGCGCGCCGCCGGGGTAAAATGCTGTTGGTACCAACAGCATTCATTCGGGAATGGATATCGATTGGTGACACACCCTCAAAAGTCAGAGATTGAATTACAGCACGCCGGGCTTCCTTGGACGCACAAGCCTGTGAGCGCCATTTTGCTTAGGCGGTTGCGCTGTTCTTTCTGATCTCATGGTGCTGCCAGCTACGACAGATATTCACGCAATCTCTGGAAACACACTCTGAAAGTATTTGACGTCCATCAATTGGGAATTATTTTATATCGCGATTTTCTCGTTTTAATTTGACTGACCCTCATATTTCCAATTTCTCCAATGAGTTTAAACCGGGTCCATCTAGTTCCCATGTCCAGGGCCGGCTTAAGGGGGGGAGGGGGCGAAGGGGGCAGTTGCCCCGGGGCCCCACACTTCCAGGGGGTCCCCGAAGGAAATTAAAAACGTCAAGTTAAAAAAAAAGTATTGCATTTGCGTAAAGTAGCTTGGGGGGGGGGGGCTGGAGCCCCAAGAATTCACTTGCCCCGGGCCTCGCAACTTCTTAATCCAGCCCTGCCCATGTCAAATCTTAGCAAGAAATATTCTACTCTTCAGCGACAAGAACTAATTTCAGAATGAATCACGCTCCATCAATGTATTGCATGGTCGTATTATATTCAATAATTTAGTTTTAAAAAAAGGCTAAAACCATGTCACTTTCCCTCCTACGTCAATTTCTGGCAAAAAAAGAAAATCATTTCCAAAGAAAATCCTGTACAGTCCATTAGCTAGACAAAGTTTACATCTTTGATTCCCGGAGGAACCGAGTGCAGAGCGTTCAGTGAATGTGGACATGACGATGCCCAAGTCACAATCCTCCAAACTTCTCTTCTATTCTTTCAATAGCTTTGGCTCGTGTCGGCCGTTGGTCTGATTCGATCGGCATTAATTTTCTAACTACTATATATGCAGGGTGTTCGTAATTAAACGCAACATAGGGAACATTTTGCCGCCTGTTTGTGGAGTTCAGCGCGTGCCTTATAGCTCACCGGGTTGCATATCTGGCAGGATGAACCTCATCACTGGTGTGTTTTCTTGCGGATATGCAACACGGTAGGCCTCATAGCGTTCCCCGACCTCCGCCTATAGGTGGCAAAATATTCCCTATGTTGCGTTTAAATACGAACGTACAGTATATGTATACTTTCATGCATGAATTTTCTAACTATAATATGTGTATATATTATAATTCGCTTTTCCAAGTCAAACTCGTCCGTTCGACACGCCGTGCCTTTCGGTAAAAGCGTTCTGCCTTCCACGCCTTCTTGAGCTCTTCTCCTTCGACCATCCGAAGCGGTGCCACGTTTCCCCTCGGCCATTCCCCCCGGACGAGGAGGTCGGGACCGCCGGGAGAAGCCTCGCCTCCGCTCGGACGGCCCCCTGCGTCTCCTGGCTCCTCCGGATGGGGGACTGGATCTCATTTCTCATTCAAGTTTCATCGAGTTCTCGGAATCGTTTGCGTCAATTACGAAGCCGGTGTCGTGTCCTGAATTTGAAATCGATCGTGCTGAAGCCGAATGCGAGACTTGGAAAAGGAAAAATGCGAATAAATAATAGTGAGCGTGTAGAACAAGACGTAGAAACGCCATTCGTCAAAGCCGTTGAATACGTTGAATAATCGCTTCTCTCGCCTCGAAAGTCGAAAACAACTTCATAAATAAACGCTCTAGTTCGCAATTTATTTTGTCCCGATTCCGGGCTTAATGTTCTTGCCCACACGGAGCTAAGATGTTCAATCGGTTCGGTCCTCGTGACAGCATTGCCGCTGCTCATTTCATCTTCGTGAGCAAAAAGATGCCGTAGCGACAGCGGTTGGGAAGCGAACGACTCGAAAGGATTAAAAAAATAAAAATTTGCCCTCGACTTTCCAAGATGCAGCAGTTGGAGCCCTGCCTTTCAGAATCGGGACCTTGTCAACGAGATGCCCTGCCGCGTCTCTTAACCGCTTCTCAGCGGAAAAAGGCCTCAGGACCATTCGAGGCTCGCTTCGCGCCTTCGCACAGAAATAACAGACGCATCCAGAGAGTCGCGTTTGCTTCGACGAAGTCATCCCTCATCATTCAGCATTCTCCGCGTGTTCAGATCGTCCCGGACCCGGGAAAAATTGTGATTTTCGATCGTCATTAACGGACAGTCTGCAAGAATCTCTTTCAATCTGTTTCGCTGCTGCTCGGGAGAAGATCAAGATCGAAATCAAGGTCAAGGTCAAAAGAGTGTCAGGGAGTTTCCTCTAACCGTGTCACGGTTCGTCTCCATGGGCTTCATCCAATGGGAGCACGACTTACGCTCCAAAACTGCGCAGGAAATGGTCGATGCGTCTGTCACTTGGTATGTCCTCGAAGAAACGAAGTTTCCTCTACAGAAGTGAGATGGTGCCTGAATCACCGTTGCAGTGACTCCTCGTGTATGAGGATATCTTCTGAGTAGAAAGAAAAAGGAAGTCAGTCAAATGGGAATGAAACGTCTTTTCAGCTTCCTGGTGATTTCTCATGGATATCGATTACGTAGGGACGAAGAACACGACGAAATGAGGGAACCTTTTCCAGCCGTGGCTCAGCACAATCCCGAGCAGTCGAGAAAAAAAAAACAGATCTGTTACATCCTTCTCGTAAACAGTTGCGGCTCGTGGGTGAAAAAACTGGGTAGGCAGCAGTGACGCATACGGGTGGGGGGCGGTCGCCCCCTATGAATCCTCTGCTTCTATATGATCCTAATGACCAGGGGAGCGTCCTCCAATGATAGTTGCACGCACATTCGCCCCTCTCTCTATTTCGCTCAGCATCCCTTACCCCCCACCCTCCAGTCTCCTCAGGGTCACCCCCCTTCACCTCTTGGTTACGGGCGTGATATAGGTTGAGAATTTTTGCATTCAATAAATTGTATATCTAATTCCAACATAATCAGAACTAGCCATCAAAGAAATTACTTGCATCCAACAGAAGTGACGAAGATTTAAACCTTTGAGGAATGCAAATATACCATTTGAAGACGCCACAGGGATGCGAAGCACTGTCAGTCTAAAGAGCACATATCACTGGAAAACAGTGCTTCCAGGAGAGAGCTTCAACGAAAGTGGGTAGAAATGGGGAACTGGGACCCAGGATTGATAGAAGCCTGTTCGGAAATGATTCCTTAGTCAGTCTACATGATAATGCTTATAGTAGGTCTGATCAGGTGTGACAAATATAGAGAAGCAGGGGGCGTGAGCAAGCGATTCTCCTCCTTCCCTTCCTGAGCAAGGAGTAACTGCACAACGTAAGCAAGCCTACCCTCGCTCATTCCAGGTTACGGTTCTTATCCCTCTCTCCCTCCTTTCGTTCCTCCATTGGACTCGTGGGGATTTGAGCCTAGCTAGCAGCGCCGTGCCTACTCTGAACGCATAATCTCGTTATGCATCGGAAAAGTTTTTCCAGCTGTTCTAATCGAATAATGAGCTTGCAAGTATTACTTCGAGAACTCTGATTTAAAACTGGGTAGGTATTGCCTACCCTGACGATCCGCCACTGCTCGTAACGTTTCTCTGTCGACCTGCACGCTTCTCGCAACCTCCGTCGGGAATGACTTGCACTCAGAGGGTCCTTGGTGCTCGAACGCCTGCGGAATTCTGCGACATCCTCTTCTGTTCGACGCCGTCGCGAAAGTACAGGGTGCGCCGATAATATATGAGGGATTTTAAGTTGTAATAACTAGCTAATAAATTACATCACGAAGTTATGTCAGACACAGTGAGAAAGAGTACAGTCAGGAGTTTATTTTCAACACATTGTTTTTTTTTTTCCTTGATGACATGTTCGATGTGGTTACCGCGGCGATTAGGACATGGATTTATTCGCAGTGCGAAGTTCTCGATCACTCGGAAATAACGTCTTTGGTGGGATGGATCGCACGACGATCTCCACGACCCTCGTGAAGTCAGGCAAGGTTTTTTTTTGCTATTCTCTGTACACGTTGTCCTTTGCGTAGCCCCACAGGAAAAAAATGGAATGGGTTGAGGTCAGGGGAGTGCGGGACTCACGCGATCTCTGCACGCCTGGAGATGACCCTCTCACTGAACATTTCTCGCGACAATTTCATCGTCTCACTCGCTTTGTGGGGCGTGGCATCGTCTTGCTGAAAACCATTGAGTTTGCGCCAGACTGCGACGACGTCGGGAACTCCATTCCAACACACAATGGTTTTAGAGGGATCGCTCGGCTTGGAATGTCTGGTTCCGTCGGCGTCGCAGGAGGCAGATCCGTCTTGGTCTTTCTCCCTTTCTGAATTCCGCGGAATCCGGCTCGATTTTCTTCTTATTTTTATTCCCGTTGCTTCCACCGTAGAACCGCCAATTTTCCTGATTTTCGCCATTCCATTTCCCACGAAGGAAACGAGGAAACGTGGCCCACATCGAGATGGGAAACCCATCCAAGATAAGGAAGTATTTCAACATCGTCCACGCATTTCCCCCCACTTTCAGCGAAAAAAAAAAAACCCAATCCGCATCCGGGAGAAGACGGCCCGTCCCGTTTCTCACGAAACGCCCCCCACCCGATAGCCCCCCCCCCCCCCTCCTAGAAAAGACTGGGACCTCGCCTCTCTTCCCTTCACTGGACCCCGTGACACCGCTCCGATCCCCCACCATGAAGATCTTTGCTCTCCTCCTCCTCCTCCTCGTCTCCGCCAGTCAGTCCCCGTCCATTCCTCGAATCTCATCTTCCCCCCTTTGCTCCCTGCACTTTTCACCTCGCAGATGCCCAGGTCCCCGAAGACCCGTGTTGCTGCGACTCCTGCGAGGGTGACCTGGGAAAGTGCTTAGATCTCTGCCTGGAGTACTTTCCCGACACCCTCGGCGTCTGCTTCGAGCCCCCCTACCGCTGCTGGTGCTACAATACCAACTGCGCCGGTGAGTCCACTCGCCAGCGACCTCGTGTTGCCTGGCAACATGCACGCAACGCCCCTCGATGGTCTGCAACGTAAGTTAACGGCATGACGGCAGCACGGCGGCAGCACGACGGCCACATGACGGTAGCATGACGGCCGCTCACCGCGCTCGCAGTGCTTTCGCCTTCAAAATTTGGTCGGATGTTTGTTGGAGAGAAAATCCAGTGGAGTTACTGGCACTTTTTCACCTGCTCGGCATGACGATGCATTGCGTATCGTATTGCGTGTATTGCGTCCCGACACGATGGATTCAGGGACACACTGGGATCATTCCTAAGAATTTCGGCAGTCCCTCATGATAGAGGACTTCGACCGAATCCACAGGGAAACACCATGAGTGTTCGTTTCGGAGGGGTTTTCGGTGATCGAGAAACCGCTTGAAATGGTTTCCATCAAGTTCACTCTAAGAACAATTTGACATAATGACGCATCATAACGACTCGGTAGTTGTTGAACCGTTATGGGGAGACTATGAGCAAAATAAATAAATAAATATTGATATGCTTTGCAGAAAGTGAAAATCGTTGGTACCATAAAGCTGTGCCCTGAGGATATGCACCACAAATTTGTAAATTTTCTGAACTCACCATCACCTCAGTTATTGGCGTGCCAACCCAAGTAATACAAGATATTCCAGCAACGTTTTGGAAATGTTGATGAACAATGTTGCGCCTATGTGTAAATGTCCAAAACGTCAACGTTGCTAAAATTCCTAAAAAGGAACATTGCATATACGTTGCAAATCGTTACTTATTCATTACACACATTGCACATGACACACATTACACACGTTGCAGAAACGTTTCAGGATTTACGTAGCTGCAATGTTGATTGAAAACGTTGCTTCACGGGCACCTAATCAGGGCCTATATTGACATTACGGAAAAGCATAGGCTTCACTGGTCCTGAACTGGACCGATATTCGACCAATATTGAATTATTCATTTCATCATTTCGTACCATATACTTTACCTCTCAACCCAGACATTCCCATCAACAGGACGAAGCCAGTACTGGTATAACCCCGACCATGCATAATACAGTATTTGTAATCATGTACTGGCAGGAGACATAGTACATTTTTGGAGGTGATTCTCCCCTGGATGTGCTAAATATGGCGCATTACTGGAAAAGGTCCGACCGCTATGTTCTATGGAGTGTCACGAAATCAGTCCTTTCCCCCACGTAGTTCTCAGGATGAGGAAATGAAAGACTGAGATCCACAGACTCTCTACCTTTGTTTTTATAGGCCTGATGTAATCCACGAGTTCTTGGAAATGGTTCTTTTTGGGAATATGAGATTTTTTTTATCTTGGTCCCATGAATCTGTCGCGAATATGAGGATAACAAGTGATGAAGTGTCCGTGTTCATTGATTCCTATAATGAGACAATGCGAGACGTCTGGCAAGGTACTAAACATTCCTGTGCGGGACGATTCCAGGGGAAGGGAGAAGAGCACTTTTGTGTACTGTGAGAAAAGCGAGACCGACGCCTCCATCTAGTGGCAAGGAGGACAACTTTACAATTCCCTAAAACTTCTAAGTCCATGTTGTATCGGAATGTGGTCGCTACGTTATCCATGTCGAGTGTCAACATTCTCTCGATGTTGATAGGAAATGTTGCGATGGCATTCGTAGAAGTGTCCCAGCAACATTTCAAATAAAAACGTTGAAGCAACGTTTTATCAATGTTGTAGATCAACCTGCAACATAGAGCAACATAGGCAAAATTTCTGTGTTCATACTGTGTTACTTGGGATATACTTAGGATGTAATGCCCGTTAAACTAGTAATGCCTTCGATGCCTTTCATGTCCTACAACGGCTCATAAGAACCGCTCCCTTCCAAAAGGAATTATTACTCTCATTCTTTCTAACCCCCCTAACTTGTGAGAAACAGGCAAAGAAACGCATTCGCAATAATTCCAGGTTATGGTCCTCCAGTGAAGAGGCGAAACTACGTCATGATGCCCAGAGTCGACTGAATCCCGGCCGATGACCCCCTTCGTCTTTGTGCAATGTGGCGATGAATAAAGCATGTTGCAAACCACAAAACCTCTTCTCGCTCCGATTTGCCAATTCGTCCATTTGCACCCTCAGGAAACGGCGGACAGTGCAAACCTGATAGGGAAATATTTTACGCGCCTATGGATTTTCGTGGAACGAACGACTGCTATAGCAGTTATCGCGTCAGATATATCTGAAAGCCTCGATATCGAGTCAGATATATCTGACTCGACATCGAGGCTTTCTGACTCGGGTGAAACCATTCAAGTTCGAACGCGATAACGTACATTTGGGACGAGACCGAGTTTCCGCGAGCCGTCCCTCGAAAACTTAACTGCCAGAAGAAACGTTTCTGAGGGTCACCTTCGTTTCATAACCATTTGTTTTGTGGTGTCCGAACTCACGCGGTTTTATCCGACTCTATCGTTTCAAATTTTCACCCCCCCCCTCAATAGTTTCTCGCTCTTCAGTTAATGTATAGTACATCCAAAAGTTTTTTTTTAGAGATTTCACTGAAGTATACAAGACTACCCATACATGAGACAATAATTGCATTAAGGATGATCCCGGTGTTCTCCCTACTGTCATCATATCTCAGCTTGAAAGAATGCAAAATTGCTGGCCATATGAAAGCATCCGGCTTCTGAATCCTGCCAAGACCTAAACAAGAGATGTTTTGTCGATTTTCACGATCAGAGTGGCTCCATTGCAAGACATTCAGGAAGCACAACATTGTCAATCCCAAGCATTTCAGCGGGAATCATTCATCGTCATCCTTGGGTGCTTCTCATGCCTCAGGCTATGTTGCATTCGAACAATTGAATGAATCTGAGTGAATTTATGGAGAGAGCTATTGACGTGGTGAATAGATGGGTTGACATAGATCTGCAAATCCCGCTGAATCAGTGGACCAATTTGACTAGAGAGTGGCCAACATGCCCTTGCTTCACAGCAAGACTTAATTTAAATTTTGTGGTGATACTTTAACCAACACCTGGGAGTGGGAGAGAAAGTTCTGGCATCATCCATTGCACAACTGGTGCAAAGCTTAATCGGAGTTACATTCTTGATTATTTATTCCATCACTAAAAGTATATGATATTACCGTGTTTGGGCCTGTGATTCTTTCACTCCACTAATCTACTCACTGGTACACCTCTCCTTTCCCCTTTACATATAGAGCATTTGCTTGGAATATTCACCGTAACAGAGTTCTGTCGAAATTCGATATGAAAAAGTCATGTAACATAATACATATGTTGAATCAGGAATTTTCCTCTCAAAATAAGCAAGGAGCCATAGTCGAAAACCGAATCCTCTTCTGTCCCCTCTTCTCCATATCCTTCGCTTGTTTCCTCTTCTGAACGTTAGAAACTGATGCCGGGCTGACCATTAAAATCTGCGCTGTGTCGTCAATTGTCTTCCCCTCTTTTTGCATATCCAGGATGGCCTGCTGTTCTTGAAGTGTCAAAGATTTTCCCCTACTCCGACGCGTTGACACGATGTAGAAGGGAGTAAAGTGGGCCCATAGGGCCATTGTTACCCCAAGTATGGGAAGTAATACGTACTACAGTGACATCTCTCTAAAAAATTTGTGGATGTACTATAATTTAATCAATTCCTATTAAATCCCAACTGCTTAAACTTAAATTAATTACATAAACTCCTATTTTCTAAATTGAAAAAGTATTGTTTTTCTTCCTCTCTGCACGTTCCAGATCCATCTTCTTTTCTGCTGAGGACTCCTACAGATACAAGATACAAACGACGACTGGGGCCTTGGAGAATGTACTGGGCAGGTCTCGATCCTGCTCGTTTCCGTTGAAATGGCGACGCCCATTGCCTTCAGTCCGTTCTAGCGGCTTGACGGGTGGTGCTATAGGTTGTGATTGTTTCGATTTTTGCTGCTTCAGGCCTTGGCTGCAAGGCTGATTTCCGACCGCACCCATGCAGAATCCCACTCTGTGTGTGAACTCCTAGTAAATCTAGGAGAAAAATTGGCAGTGAATTCGAAAATGCAGTCACGCTAAATTTATTCATAGACTTATGAGTTGAGTTTTTAAGACTTAACGTTACGGTCTCACTTAAGCTTAACTTAGGCCTAATGTAATGTAAATGACCATTGCACTTCTTTAGAAGGAAGAGTAAGAAGGCATGAGAGGGCGAAAGAACACAAGACAATGGTCGGGAATTGAACCTGGCTCTCCTGATTGTCACTCAGGTGTGGAAATTTTCACCACATCCATGAACTCAGGACATTCACTTGCTTCTCTCCCATTTCACCCCTATTGATTCTTATTACTATAACTCAAAGTCAAAGTTCTGTATTCTAGTAATACTGTTTTCTTTTTGAATACTTTTCCAGAATATTAATTACTGTTTCCAGAGCTAACAACCAGTGGAAGTGCAGTGGTGCTGTTTCTATCAAATAAGCTACTTGCTCAAAAGTAACTGGTATTTTTTAGTAGAGGTGTCTATCTAGGTCTGGTTAGGGCTGTGATCTACCTAATAAGTCCTTGCTTCAAACGACTGCATTATCTTTTGAACTCTTCACAAGGAACAGTCATCAATATTTCATGAAACCTGTTTTACCAAGCCTAACAAGGCCCACAGATAGTGTGGATTAAAAATTCCACATTGTGATGACATGGTGGTATCCATACCAGACGAATTGAAATGCCACATCTGTAAGGACATACTCACTGATGCTGTTCTCATCCCATGCTGTGGGACTTCCTTTTGCCACACATGCATCAAGGAGGTTTTGCAGAAGTCTGAAGATCATGAATGCCCTGAATGCCATGAAAAAGGGAATGATCCTGATGTCTTCCTTCCAAATCGGTGAGCTTTCCATGACCCATCTCTAGATTTTTACCTAACTTACATTGGTTACCCAAGGAGGGGAATATGAATTTGTCTATTTTGAATAAATGGTCATGAACAGACATTGGTAAGTCATTTCTCCATTTGTGGCATTTCTTCATAAAGGCATTGACTGATTGGCAAGGGAAGGGATGCAGAGCAAGATTGCCACTCATAAATAGTATATAAATACAGGGTGTCCCAGAAACCATGCCCCAAGTTTTGTACATTATTATGTCTTTATTTTTTTTCTGATGGAAATGAGTTTTGTATCTTTTGAATAGCCTAGACGTTTCTTAACAACTGCTGTTGAACTTGATGGTTCCTGATTTCTGGTTGTGGAGATTTTTTAATATGAAGGTGTATGTTACAAAATCCCAAACAACCCTGACCTCATCAGTGCCATTTCCACCAAAGTGAATGCCATAAGCTTGGACATTTACCAGAAAGCAGTGAATGACTTTCCCGGTGCTGTCGCATGTGTCATGATTAGAATGGGAGCAAATTTCAGTGGCAAAAAGATTGAATCCCTGTTTTTAATCCCTGGATCTCAGAAATCTTGCCTCCAGTTTGAATGGAGACTAAGTCTAAGTGAATGGCACTGGTAAGGTCAAGGATGTTAGGGGTTTTGTAGCATGCACTTTCTCTTTCAAATAAACCCCACGACCAGTAATCACAAACCATTAGGTTTAACAGCAGTGTCAAGAAATGTCTAAGCTTTTGAATGATACAAACTCATATCCATCAGGAAAAAAAATAAAGATATAATAATGTACAAAACTTGGGGCATGGTTTCTGGGACACCCTGTATATGTGTGATGTAGCCACATTGATGGTGCTGTTTGCTAATAATTGTGGCTGACCCTGAATTCTCCACAGACTAGGGGGTCTTTATATTGAACCTGCCCTATGTCCCTGACATTTCCCTATGTAAAGAGGAAACATATGACCCAGTTTAGGCTGTAATCTTTTATCATACATCCTTGCGGTGAGCATGAAAATGTTTGCTTGACATTATTACTCCTGTTTTCTCTTGTTCTTCTGGGTTGTTTTGTTCAATTATCCTGAGGCATGTGGTTCTTGCACTTGACTTTTGATTTCATGTAGTCTGGTTTTGTAGTTTAGCCATTGCCATTCCAGGATTTCCCAATTATCTTTTATGTTTTCTCCTATGTGAGTTGCAGTTTGGCACCTCTTTGGCAAATTGATTAAAAATACCAATAATGGCATCTGATCAATATTGATTGCTGAAATAAGCCAGTCATTGGCATTTGAAATGCATGGTTTCTTTGGTTTTAACATGGTAGGTGATACAGTCTAAAATTGATTTCAGGTTTCAATTACTGAAGGAAAATGAATGCCAGTTGTATAAGTAGTAGTTGAGCTGTCATCTGTTGCTAGTGTTTTTACAATGAGTTCACATGTGCTTTTAATGCCATCGATTTTTTTAATGAGCCTATTGACACAATTGGAACTAACCTTTACTCTGGTCTTATTTGTTATGTGAACTGGTGTGCTGTAGATGTAGATGTTTCAAGATGTAAAACATCAGTAGCACCAGTGGCCTTTTAAGGATGTGAGAATTCACTGTAAAAATACTGTGTTGCACAAGCGGTTATGTGATTGTGTACATTAAGGAGAAGACTTGCCAGAGGTGGAGAAGGAAGTAGGAAGAAGGATGCCCTAATCTGTTATCACTTAAGATACTCTCTGCAAGGTAGAAAAGCTGATTCTCAGATATCAGCTGCATACTTTAACCTATCAAGCAGGCACTTGTTGAACTTATGCCATCAATTTTATCCTTGATGAAAGGGTTTAGCCATTTGTGAAGCATGCCAAAATGTTCAGAATGCTTATAACACAATTCACAACATAGATATTCCTAAAAGGGGAAAAATACCAAAGAAAAGCTTGATCTTGAACATGTGGAATCAATTCAGTCATTTGCTGGCTGTCAAGAGTTTGAATGGTTTTTGTCTGTGTTCAATTATCAGGATTCATATTTCCTTTCACAATTCACCCTTAGCATAGTTTAGATCAATTACCTCTTTCCTCCCATAGTTCCAGATTTCTTCAGTTTCACTATTATATATTTTCCATTGGATTCATTTGGATTCATAGGTGTCTACTGAACTTTCAAGTCCCTATTGATGAATTAATCTTTGTGAAAAGAAGAGAAATTGGTGTGATGATGCAGTCCACCTTCAATATAGCACCACTGTTGGTCAATGTCAAATTTGGCATTGTAACAGGTGGTGCTATATCGAATTATCTATATCATGTATTATATAGGCTTATTTGGATATACGTCCTCAAGGAATTGTTTGGTGATAAGCAAGGTAGGTGCTATATCAAGTGGTGGTATAACAAGAGTTGACTGTACTTGATGAGTTGCATACACCTTGTTCATCTGATGAAGGATGTGTTTGTCAAGATGCAGGCATTTTTTATTTATTGAAAACTTATTTACTTTGTGTTCTTTACTAGTCACATGATGGTTAGAGATATCAGTGTTCGAATCCCCATTATTGAAAGTGTTGGAAGCCAATTGACTGGGTGAAATATTTTACTTTTTTGTAATACCAGCCAACTGCATGCACTTAACAATGAAAGCCAGTGTGTCCCTGCCAGAAAACTTGCTTTGTGCTGACTGCAAACTAACTTGTTTCACAAAACTTCATGTAGGCCTTGGGTGGTTAAATTCTCACCCTTCCCAGGAATCTTGCTGTTCTTTAGAAAATTGTCTAAAATTTTGACTTGGTACCTGCTCTCTGGATGACATCAACCCTTCTATCCATTTCTTGTTAGACTCCTTGGGAAAAAAAGGGGGAAACTCCCCTTTTTTTCTCTCTCTCTCTCTTTTCTTTCTTATTCCTTCAGGTACTACAATACCATTCCTTTGAAGGTCTACTTGGCTGAGGATTTTGGAAAAATTTTCCCTCATCTTTTCAATGGACCCTTTTATTAAGTGCTGAATATACATCTTATAGGTCTAAGACCACCCCCATCTCTATGCAGGATAATCTAGCCTACTATTATTAGTACATCATTACAAGGGGGGGGAAGTGAGCATTGCACCCATCCATCTTTCATTCACCTCTTTCTTTTGAGACACTGCTAGAGTCATCATATATTGTATATTGAATTGAAGAGAACTTTCCAACAGCATGGAAATCACCATGATTGCTAGATGGGTCTGAGTAATGAAAGGAAAAATAAAAGACTATCCACTTGAAAAGCTCAGAGCAGTACTCATTTTTTTTTAAATGAATATTGTGTTGCCTTGGCTACAATGTTAGCCCATTACTCTATAGTATAATGATCTGTCCTTCACCTAGTGCCATTGTAAAGTATGGATCTTCTGAGAAATCTCATAATTTACATTATTTCTTCATCTTCAATTTTTAGATTTCTACGCACATCAGTTCAGGCTTTCCTGGACAAGACTGGTTATCGCAAAGGCCATATAGAGCAAGAATCAAGTCCTCAGGACATAGAAATACAGGCAACAAATGGGTTGGGTGTTCCAAAGGAGGAGGAAGAGGAGGAGGAACAGCTGGAGACCTCACATGAAAGGACATCAACTCCTCGCAGGTCACCCCATCGATTCACCCGTCATCATTCTCCTCCTCCACGCCGGTCTGGGGCCCGACATCGAGGTCATTTACCCTACCCAAGTGCAAGGATATTGTCTCCTATGCTGCTCAGTGACTTCTCGGCCCCACCACCTATTGTAATGCCTGGTCCAATGGCAGTGACTAGTCTCTTGGGTGCACCACCTGTTCCTCTTCGTCCACCTATCCCCCTCTTCTTGGCAAGGCCTTTCGCATCATCCATGATGAATTCAGAGTCAACAGGCTCAAGCGAGACATCCATTTTGGCTGATGAGAGACCAGTGACTCCAACACAAGATGAACCTCCATCATCTATCTTTCCTGACATCTCCAAACCACCACCATCTCTCCTAGGTATTTTGTGCAACTCTGTTGGCACTTGTGTGTCTCCCTTGATGTGAAAGGATGACTCTTTGGAGAGTTAAAATTGTCCAAATGCCTTCTTTTGTCTCGTCTAAAAACCAATTCAGTTCAGTCCAGATATGTCTACATCAGAGTCAATGAAGGGATTCCCCTTTGCTTTTTCATTGAGGTGGTTTGTTTTTTGAGGGAAGTAACTGTAGATTCCTGATGTGGGATATAGTCACCTTACAGAATGATGTTGGAATTATATTCCCCATTTCTGTCTCCAGACCTATCATAGAAAGAGCATCGTGAGCTATGAAAAACCTTGGAGCTTGGCTTTAAGGTTTTTTTTTTTGGAATGCCTTCATTAGTTTTCATCTCAAATTGAAGAGAAATGGAGTGCTAATATCATGTGCTTGCCACAATTCAGCAGTCCTCTATAATGTGTAATTGACTGAATTCCTCATATTTTTTCTACTACCATTTTTATCATGATGCAGGTATCATAAAATCCATTAGCATGTTGTGTTTATCTCTACATGTCCAGGGTTCATATCAACTCTGTATACCATGTCCTTGATTGACTTTTTTGATTTAAAGACTCTTGTTTTCAAATGCTTCTGAGTTCCAGGGACTTGTAAACACTTTACCTTTGTTTTAATAAGCACAACTGGTCACCCAATGCAGCAGCAGTTTTGCTATTGTTATTTGGGGTGGCTGTCAGGGGTTGTGGTTTGTGATATTATCTTAGTCAGGGGTTGGAAATACCAAGGCTCTGAGGAGAACAAAGAGGGATATAGGGAGAGGAGGTGACTACTAGGGGATCCATAATAACGAGAGTGGTTAAGAGTTTCTGTCTGTGAACATACTTGAAGGTTGTATATCAGTGGTTTCCAACCTTTGTCTTGCAACCCTTTGTCTTGGTCAATGTTGGATTTTGGTATGAGTTGTTGAGGGTGCAAGATTCAGAAGTGTTTCATTTTTGCCATACTTGGTACTTTTCCACCTGTATTCTATTCTGTTTTATAACCTTCATCATGGGTTGCTGAGTCTTGCATAAGCAAAGTATGAGTCATGCTTTCAAAGAGGTTTGGAGCTTCTGCTGTGTACTATCAATATGATCTCATCAGGAGTTGGACATTCAAGAAGTTCAATCGTCCCAAAGCAAACTCAAGTAGGCCTATTTAGTACCCCAGTAAAGTATCCTATTTTTTGCATGTCAAATGAATGGATCTGCTACAGAAGCTGCAAATACAGGAAGCTGAAGCTTAGTTTTAACCTGTGGGACTTGGTTCTCATGAACTCTTAGTCCCCAGAGTTTATGCAACCACTGTTCTGATAAAAACTTTAATTGAAAGTTATTTATGACTGGAATAAAATTATATCATTCTCTTGTTACATCAAGAAGGAACAAGTTGGATCTCTGAGTTTGTTGGTGTTTTCTTGACCCTGATCATTTGCCTGATTCTAAAGCCTGATGTGCATGTGCCTTCAACCCTTTTATTCCTGAAAGTGAAAGTGATGCTTTCAGTTTCTAATTGCTGATGGAGATTGGTAGGAGCAATGGTGTAGTTCATGCAGGGAAAACATTGACATATTTTACTATATTTGGACATTGTTTTTTTCTTATATGGGTCATTCCATGTCAAATCAATTCAAAAAACTTATGAAATTGACATGGCCCCCTATGATTTTTCTGAAATTTAGAGGACTTGTAGAGTCTATTAAAAAACTAATCTGTCAAATTTCAGCTCTCTAGTTCAAATACTTTCTAAGGTATAGCTATTTGAATTTTACCAAGAAGGACTGACTGGGTCAAGTGGTCATGACTTAAATGCTCATAAGTTTTGTTCTACTTAACAGAGAGAGCTAAAAGTGGTGTCAATTTAGAGCTCAACTCCTTTTAAGTGATATATATTTCATAGAAGTTAGATAAAAACAAAGGTCAGTGGTCCTTGACCTTTTCCTTTGATCTTGATTTCCAGGAAAAGGTTCTTTACACTTTTTCAAAAAAATTAATATATCCTCAATTTCTTTCTTGAGATGCACCAAATTAAAATTTTGGACTGCCAAAGGATCAGGAAATATGAACAGTAAGAAGCAGCAAGTGGACAGAGTTTGCCATTTAATTGTCTGAAAACAAAAGTCAGTGGAGATCCCCTGTCTGTTGTTGATCATGTTCTGATCCATTAGCACTCTCAGGCATTCCTTCAGACCTGATATGCCAGGCCATGAATGGCATTCTTAGAAGTAGCACACTGGTTGAGGAGGATTGCAGATGATCCTTGCCAGACAAGTGACTGTATTTTTTTCTTAGCAGGACATCATCAACAGTCAGATGGATAATCATTCTGCTCAACATCATCAGTTTCACATTTCTATGGGTCATGCAGGCACACTCTGCATGTGTACTACTTGCTCCTGCTAAAACACTGTACTTGGGACAAAGTTCTGTGAATTTGGAGAAGCCAATAGCTTGAGTATTGAGTATGAAAGCTACCCCTCTTTCAACAATTGATACACCTCTTTCGTTTTGCTCAAGTATAGTCTTTTCTGAACATGAAACTGTTTTTTAACCTTTTTCACAGAAACAAAATCTTTCTTGCCAGACATCATTCACTTCATCACCTTTGTAGAAGTTCCTGGTGAGATTTGTTATTTCTGCTGGGCATACTCTACCTGGTTTGGGATTTAGTGCATCCATATTCCCCTTCTCCTTTACAACTTCTTTTTCTTTACACACCATGAAGTTGGATGCAACAAATATGTCTTGGATTTTCCTAATGTTCCCAATTTTCGGAAGAACTGTCAGGAGTTGTCCATGTTCACTTCTTTTCATGGATGTTTGGAATTTGTACTTCAGTTGGTTGATTTCATTTTCTGTCTGCTCTTGGCTGTCATCTGAATTTATTTTGAGCAAATTTATCCTCAGAGCAGCCCCTACCTTCTTCAACTTCTCATTTGGATTTTAAAATTTTCTTATTGATAGGAGACTCTCCAATGGAATGCAAATTTTGATTCATGAATTTCAAATGTTGTATCTTGTTCATAGAAGACCACATCAACCACATTAGTCTGACTGCATGGACCAAGCTCTCATTGACTTCACTTGGATGATGATGTGCTCAATTCAGTTCTTGGCAACACCAATATTTGGGCAATTTTTCTCCCTGCAATCATCACAAATTTTAGTCCCAAGTGGAAGGGAAGGGAGCTTGTTGCTCATCCATTTCATAGCTGGCTGGAGGTGGTTCTTAAATGAATGTTTGGTTCTGCCAAATGGGTTGCAACAGAACAGAACAAATTGCCCATTGAAGTTGTTTCATCTCTCTGGCATCCTGATGAGGAAGATTGAGAGCAAACAGCTCATCATACCACAAGTGATACATAGCACCTGAGAAACCAGGGCACAAACAGGTGAAACAATGCTGAGGTGGCCCATTAATAATGAGGAAGGTGCTTTATCTAGAATTTGATAAAAAATTGTAGAATACTCCTATTAGTTTTGACTACTACAAGTGCAAGATATATCCCTGAATTTTGCTCCAAATGGATGAATACAGAAACTTCCAGAATATTTTATACTAGTTTTTGGTCATTTAATGCCCCTTAATTCTCCATATATATTGATCTTATTGCATTCCCTTGTTGAAATTTGATGTATCAAATTAATATGATATCCTCAAGAAATTGAGGGTATAATATTGATTTGTGATGACCACATGACTCAAAATCAGCCCTTTCCTGTAACAAGTCAACGTATCTTAAAAAGTACTTGGCCAAGAGAGTTGAAATTTTACATGGATTTGTTTTCCAATAGACTGTATGGGACTACGAAATGTAATAAAAATTGGAAGCATCAGGTTTATGGCTGTGTTGATGTGATGTGGAATGAACTAATTGCTTTTTTCTCCAATATGCAGTCTTAAATTGCAAATCCAATGTATTTTATTTTGATGGCTATTTCATATTTATTTTATCTTAATAGTTGATTCATCAGAGTATTTTGTTTATTTCTGCATAAATCCTCTTCCAAGTATGAGAGGATGAAATTTTTGCATTTCTTTGAACTTTGTGCAATAAGATTATTTGGTAATCAAATGAAGAGGAAACATGAATTGACTACTCTGTCGGGTTCATGCCCCAGAACTGTAATCTGATCTATATGTAAAGTGAGTCATTTCATTATTTTCAGTCATTTTCCACTACTACAGTGATTTAATGCCCATGAAATATTTTTGAGACTCAGGTGTAAAATTTAAATCAACAGAAGAGTCCATAAGCCCAATTTGTTGCAGAATTTTTTGTGAAAAATGAAATTCCTGGAAGCCAGAGAAACCTATGTCCCACAAAAGAGGAATATATCCCCCATATACAGTGGCATCTCTAATTTCTTATTGTTGAGCCAGCTGGCTCTTGCAATGGTTCAAAATTGCACTTGTCATGAAGCATTATAATCACAACTCTGGAGGAAAAATTACTGCAAGTGGCCTCAAAAAATTAAATGTTAGTATAGCTCCACCTTCTTTGCCAAAATGACTTTTGCATGGGTGTGGATCGTTATCTGCTCTCCCTGTGTAAAGTATCATTTTGGTCAAGAAGAAGGGCCCTGTTGACCCTCATGTTTTCAGCAATGCATGTGACTTCTTGTTATAAGACTCCAACAACCATGCTGCTGCCCATGAAGAAAAGGGTGCCTTTACCTCAAGCTGAGAAAGTAGTCAGCAGCTGCTGTTCAGGAAGCCAGAAGAAATTCTTCCACCATCTGATTGTAGGATAGATTCTCTAAGTTCCACTTTTGTGGAGAGGACCTCCAGAGAGTCAAAACATACTCCTCCAGATGATGAGGCAAAAGTGATGAGCAATTTGAATGATACTTCAAGACCTGTTATTTGGAGATGCCCTTAACTCTTTGGGTGCCATAGGCAGATGTGATCCTTCAAAATTGCACAGTGCAGAAAACTTTGTATCAGTTGTTCCCTCCAAGTTCACAGTGGTGAAAACTTGATCCTCTAAGATTGCACAGCATTTTTTTTTTTTGCCAGAAGTTACAGAGCTGAAAATTGTTTAAATAAATTTGGATACATGTAGAAATTCTTATCTGTTGAAAGCAGTATGACACATGGTTTGGATAGAAAGTATTGGTTTTAGTATACAAGCATACTGGAATAATCATGCTTCCATCAAATAGATGAGAAATATTGGTCACCTAAAATTTGTTGAACCATTGTATGTTTATTTTTTGTCTTTGTGATTGCGTTTGATACACTGCCTGCAAGATCCCACTTTCTAAGGAAGTAGCTGCACCCTCAAACTTGAAAAAGAAAGCTGCAAAATGTTATAAAACAAATATTCAAGTGAACTTCGGGGCCTAATACCAAAAAAAAACCAAACCAATTCAGAAATGATGGTGTCACCTTTTTTTCATCAAATGGCAAGAAATTATCCCTTGTCAGCTATCGTACTTCCTCATGGAGAAATTCTCTCCTCTGATTGGTCGGGCATGCATGCACTAGCAGAGGCAGTAAAAGACATGTCTACAAACTTCATTTGTAATAATCCTTGCTTGATGTCAGTAAAAGCCCAGTCGTGGCACTACACCATGGCTTAGGCATAGTGCTGTCTCATTTTGAAATTGGAAATTGAGAATTTTCTCATTGATATTGAAAATTTCAACGAGAAAAGTTTAGTTGAAAATGAATGAGCCATCATAGACTGCTCATTAGTCATTTTTTAAGTCTGATTTTCGAATTTCGCGCCGAATGTTCTTGCTTTCATCCAGCATTTACCTGTATCTGTAAGGGTAAGCCAGGTTCAATAAGACTTACTGTTGACATTCTACCTGTTTTCTCGAAGCAGGAGTTACTCATTAGGAACCCCTTCCTATTTTTTTTCATATGAATGCCCCCTTAATTTTTCTTACTGCAATCTGTCTGCCAGAGCTCAAGAGCTGTCAAAAGTTATGTATTGTGGGACTGCTGAATGACTCCTCTTCCCATGAAAATCTAGAACCTGTACTGAGAGATGTTATGTTGCCTCTCCTGTAGGAAAGCCTCCGATGCTGTCCCACCCTCCCCCGCCTGGAGTGTCACCTCCACCAAGAATCCAGAGCCGAGAACGTGACAGGAGCCACCATGTCCTACACCGCCACCGCACCGGGCGCGACACCAGATCCCCCAAGCACTACGTGGATGACCCCCTGGAAGAGTTCAACCGCTACCTACGAGAAAAAGAGCAGCGAAACACCCGCTCACGTCGGTCGATCAGCCGCTCTCCCTCCCCGAAGCGGATCTCGTATCCTGCAGCTACAGCCCGTCGCTCCGTGTCTCCCCGTCGGAGGTTCTCCAGGTCACCGAGTCCGAGTCGCCGCGCTCTTTCCCCCCTGCGGCGGGATCCCTACTATCGTCCCGCATCGCCAGAAGCAAGACGATACAAAGAATCTCGTGACTGGAAGGCGTATTCTTCCAGTTATTCATTGGGGACTTCCTACGGAGATTATTCTTCAGACCGGCTCGCATATCCATCACGGTCTTCAGAATTCGAAAGGCGATATGGCCAAGCGCTTTTATCCGAACAGTACGCTGCTGCCTATCCCGAACGCAGATCTTCTTCGAGAGATCAACATCACTTCGCGTATTCTTCCACGTATCCCTCAGATTACAAGGGATACCCCGAAGACGAGTACCAGAAGAGAAGCTTTTCCCGGGATTATCGGGCCCGGTCCCCCTACGATTATGTAATCCGCGGGACGACCCCTGATGAGCTGAGGAAATCCCTGGAACGAGAACGGCCTCCTCGAGAGACCAAATACAGAGATCACGAGAGTCGTTATGACCGAAGATCCCACTACACGGAATCCCATCGAGCCGAAAAATTGTGGGAAGATCCTGCCTTGGCTTTGCCGCCTGCTCCACCCGGGGAGCCACCGTATATTCCGCAGAGGACAGACGTTCGACGGAGTCGAACTCCCGAGAGGAGCCTGAGTCGGGATGCACCAAGAAGTAGCAGGGAAAGAGCGATTTTACCGCAGAGCAGCAGGGAGAGGACTGGGATGCTCGACCGAGAAGATAGCAGTATTTATACTCGAGAAGTGGCTGCCGATCGATCTCGACACGAAAACGTGTCCCAGTATCACGACAACCCGATATTCCCTCAAATCAAGGAGCCGATCCTCGAAAGGATGGAATTTATGCATAGGAGCAAGGATCGTTCCGAAAGTGAAAACAAAGACAGAAGCAAGGAACGGTCTACCAGTCGCGGCAAGGAGCACCGAGCGAGCAAGGAAAGACTTTCGAGAAAGGACGAAAAAAAGAAAACAAAAGAACCGGAGAAGGAAAAAGACCGGAAGGGAAGAGAAAAGAAGCGACGACGATCCCATAGCCCGAGCGGTTCTGAGTCCGAGCAGAAGTCGCGAAAGAAGGAGGAAGAGAGACCTGACCCCCCAGGCGACGTGCATAAATTCACCCTGAGCAACTGGGAGACGGTGGACGCTGAGATGAACCTAGAGGACATCTCCCCCGAACACCGAGTAGCAGCGACCCGGGACCCCGTCCCTTCGAAGGAGCCAGAGGAGACCAAGCCGTCAGAGCCGGCCGAGAAGCAGTCGGAACGAGTCGAGGGACGTCCGCCTTCCCCGAAGGTCAAAGAAGAGCCTCAAATCTCGAAGGCCAAAGCACCCAGGAAGAAGCCGTCGAAAGCGAAGTCTGAGGCGAAGAAACCGAACCCGACCCTATCCCAACCCGGGAAAGTCCTGGCTTCCATCGTCGCCCCCTCGAAATGGGACAACGATGACGAACCGGAATCGGAGAAGCCGAGGAGGCGCCCGGAACGAGACGACGATCGCGAGAAAAGCAGCCGCCTCCCCTCCGAGGTGATCCGAAAGGCGGAGAAGGCCATCTTCGAGAAGCAATCCCGTCCCGTAGAGCCGAAAGAGCCTCGCCCCCGTCGAGTCTACGTCGGAGACGGCGAACGAAGGTCCCCCACCCGTCTTGTGGAACCCGAACTGAAGGCGGACAGCCTCTCTATCACGATCCAGTCCCACAAAGAAGATCGCTCCGTTTCATACGGGAAGCAGGACCGGGACACCCCTCGCTCCCGCCCCGACTCCCACACCTCAAAGCAACGAAGCTCGCACCGGCACCGCAGCCCTCTGCGGCCTCGTAACGCCTCCGAGCGGACACGCGACGCCCCCGAGAGAACACGGGACGCCTCCGAGCGGACCCGTGACAACCCCGAACGGACCCGTGACATCACCGAGCGGACCCGTGACACCCCCGAGCGGACCCGTGACGCCTCCGAGCGGACCCGTGACAACCCCGAACGGACCCGTGACATCTCCGAGCGGACCCGTGACATCCCCGAACGGACCCGTGACAACCCCGAACGGACCCGTGACAACCCCGAACGGACCCGTGACATCTCCGAGCGGACCCGAGGCATCCCCGAGAGGACCCGAGACGTACGTGTGAAATCCCGACGATCCCTCTCCCCTCCAAAGACGAGACGAGACGAGATCCAAAGCACCGTCCACGTGAAGACCAAGGAACGTTCCCCATCTCCAAACGAGCGCCGGAAACCCAAGAAGAAAAAATCCCCAGAAGTGAAGAAAAAGAAGAAAGCGGAGAAAGAGAAGAAGAAGAAGAAGAAGAAGAGGAAGACCAAGACGAAGGAAAAGAAAAAGGAGAAGCGAAAGAAGAAGGACTCGGGAGAGGCCAAAGACGAAAACGGGGAGAAGAAGCTGGAAGCAACCGTCCTCGACGAGTCCCACTTCGAGCCGGACTACGACGCCCCCTCCGAAGACGAGGGACCCGACCCCCGACCGAGGCGGAGGAAGGAGTCCTCCAGCGACGACTCCTCCGACGCGGGCTCCACTTCCAGCTCCGACGGGAGCAGCTCGGAGGACCCGGCCTCGAAGCCTTCGCCGGCTTCGAAGCCTTCACCGGCCAAGAAGAGACGCCAAGAGTCCTCGAGCAGCAGTGCCGGCGAGTCTCCGAGAAAGAAGAAGAAAGGCGAAGCCGCCAAGAAGAAGAAGAAAAAGAAAACGTGAAAACCGCACTCGATGAACCTCTTCACTGACGCTCATGTAATTATTTTGCACTGTTTACTTTTCGTCTGTGGGTGTGAATACGACTGTACACGGGATGCAATATTCCCCATCGTATAAAAAAAAAACTTGTGTTCCATGTGAAGAACTCAGCAAACCAACCTCATCGACGTTCTTCGTTCAGGTATGACCCAGGTTGACATGTTATGCATTTGCCAGTAGTGCATGCTTATGGTTCTCCCAAAGACAAGCCAAAAAATGTTACACCTTCGCCCGTAAAATAAGACGCTCGGTGAATTTACATAATTAAAGATTCACTCATGCAAACGATGGTTAACGTGGCTTAAGGTCACTGCGGGCCACTGCAACGATGTCGTTGCCTGGTAATAAGGTAAACCAGGTCTGTCCGTACACCGAACGCGAGTTGAGGGCACGGTGCCACGACGACGGGAACTGACCCGTTTTCTAACGGGACGGAGTTTCAGGGGCCGGGAGAGCATCGCGCCACAGCTATTCTCAGACCTGTCCCACTGTGTGAGGTGTGACCGGACAATGAAAAACTCATGGGAGCCTTTCCCGGTCGGGCCGGGTTCAGGCGAGACCTTGGGTGGGCTTAGGGTTACCACCTATGAAATTAGCAAAATATGGACAAATATATGAAGAATACTTGCGTTTGTGACTGCTTCAAATACCTAAAGCCACCTTTAGCCAAAAAATTGATGCTATAAATATGGCATACTACTCTGGCTTGAGGAAAAGAGTAGTTTTAGCTGCTATTAAGTTTATTAACTAATAAATCTTAACAGGTTTAAAGTATGGATGAAGTACTGTAGTGTCCATACTAATTATGAACGGGTGGCAACCCTAGGTAGGCTTCATCTCTGCAAGATAGTCGATACTCTGAGATTCCATCAGAGCCTCTCAGATCACGAACGCGACAGGCTCCGTCCGTGTCCAGTCCCAAACCACGTCTCCGACGGGTCGAGTCCTGCATCTTTTAAGAACTCCTTAAGTGGGTATAACGTATATATCCGTCATGGTGAAACGCTCCCCAGGTGGGTTTGGCATTTTTTTTCGTCCCGCTATATTTCGAGTTAGAGTTAAATACGTATTTGAAACACGAAAAGGAGTTGTACAATTCTTACACAACCACCGAGTATTACTGACACGAAAAAAAGTTCTGACTCCAGCGGAAGACTTGTGTCCGAGAAATTCCCGTCTACGTACGATCGATGACTAACGGGTTGCAGCTTTGACCCTTCGCCTCTTGCGTTGTAGAACCCCATTAGGTAGGGAAATTTCCCGATGGATCGGGCAGTTGCAAGGACACAACTGAAGTCTTGAAACGTGGTAGCCGTCCAAGCATCTCTTTAATTTCCATCAAGGACAGATATAAGAGACAGTGTACGGATTTGAGCAAGACTAAAGTGAATTTTTGCATTTATAGTGCCATGGTTGCCCCTATCTCGGTCATTGTGGGATGGAAAGAGATGTAGCATTGCATCCATTGCGCTTGAATTCAGCAAATTGCGGTATTCTGAAGTAGCAGCAAAATTATTAAATTCGATGAATTTCACTCGAGAATTTCGGCTTACCCTTTTCGTGCAAAAGCTCCATTGTTCCAAAGAGAATGCTGACGGCACGCGCACACTCACTCTTGCTTCGGCTCGTATCTGTTGGTGTTTCATGGCATCTGCTTGATTGCATCTGCATGTTGCCGAGCCATAGAAGTTTCGTCCGGCCGAGGTCGGTCTAAACTAATAAAGATGACACGGTTGGGTTGTAATGCAAGGGGTGATTGAAGATTGGCTGGTTCGGATCGAATGGCGCGTGGAGCCTGTTGAAGATTGGGAATTAGACGCTCAGTCGAGGTAACTCCATGGGACATTCTGGACATAGTGTGTGGTGATCCGAGCCGGTCCGGACCTGGCTCACATGCGGATTCCTCTATTATTATTTTTTTAGTGTTGCTAAATGAAAGCAGCAGTTTTTTGTTTTTACATGTGGGATAAGGTTTTTTTTTTAATTCTCGCATAATCTTAACGTCGACTGTCAATTGCGCTCCCGCGGATGGGATGGGCGGATCAATTCGTATGCTTCTGCTATTGCGCCTGGGAGCAGTGATGCCGCAGCCGACATCTAGGGGGATTCCTGGAAATACCAGCGACGATGGCGTCGCACTGTTGACTTCACGTGTCTGAGAATCTGCTTCCCGTTCATCCCGGTAAACACGATTCCTAGTGTGAGGCATGGTAGGATTCGCTTAAAATTACGGTGGATTCGCCCAGTTTCTCTCAAACTTGCAAAGTTCTTGGCTTTGCGTTAATGCATGCTTGCCTCATCCCCGAGATAACCATATGATTGCACCTGATAGAATATTGAATGAAGAAATGATGGGGTAGGAAATGGGATAGAAATCGGAGCAGAGAGAAAAAGGGACACGTAGATGCCATGTCACATTCATCCTCCCGATCATGTCCACTATTTCTCCTGGGTCTCATTTTATTTATTTTTCTTGTTTGCATTTTTGCATTAAAAAAAATTAGTTTTGCTTCCATTGTCGCTTTCATATCATGCTGTTCTCAACCCCCCCCCCCCCCCTTTTTTTTGGGGGGGGGGGAAATATCCAATTCCTGCCTCTCCCCCTCTCGGGGTTTCAAGGACTCTGCCAGAAAGGAGATATCCTCCCTTTGTCCTTCCAGTGAGACTGAGATGAGATGAAGGGGAGATATACCTTCTGTCCCTTCTTGGAAGTCTCGCAAAGAACTTCACACCTAGATAGGAATTTCCTCTCAGGTGATTGAAGCAGGTCTGGTTAATAAATTCATCGGAAATAGGAATTCTGATTATCCCTATCGTGCAGAAATTAATGGATGTACTTAACCGAATTTTCACGCCAAGTGCCCTTGGAAAGGAAATGTGCTTATTTCCTGAGCATAACTTGAGAATGGAACTGGAGCGGTGACCGCAGTGACCAGCCATTTCACTTTTATTCATTTATTCCATATTCCATGCCTTTCCACGGATATCGACGATCTCACGATATCTCTGATGAAAGATATTCCTCGTGGAGCATAAATTGCTGAAAAATCCGTATGAGGGATCCATGCACATATACATGTGCATGGATTCCTCATGCGTACATAAACTGACGAAAAGTGATACCTTTTTTCATTATTGAATCGTAAGTAACCATTTATTCCATGTGTGTAGACTTCCGAATGATGACCTTTCCTCCTTCAACTTTTTTTGCGACTGAGAATTAATTTACTTGCTTAAATACTCTCAGGACCGAGGAGCCCCTACACTCCTTTAAGATCTACAGCTCATTCTCTCAGAGATGCATTATTTGATCCTCTTCTCAGAATGAAAATGTAAATTAAGGAATTGTCGCACACAGCTTGGATGTCAAGAAACGTACCTATTGAATTCTAATTCATTAACTTTTTATGGCGTAATTTCGCATCGGTAATGTGCTGGAATCAGTTTTCTTGAACCTAAACAAGGGTCAGAGAAATCAAGTATCAGTCTATGCTCTCAGAGAATTCTATAATAAAGAAGTACTTCATAGATAGTCACTCTATGAACACCCCAGGGCATTTCAATCTGAAACTCGCTTCTGTTGCAAAGGCTATTTCTTAAGCTTTTGTCCAAATTATTTTTGGGTAATTATTGGGCATAATGTGGGGTTTCTAATGGATGATTTAACGAAGCCATCATATATGGTTGTATAATTTTTTGGTTGCCTTGGCTGAACTCCCCACAATGACCAGATGAAGTATAAGGAGATTTTATGAGATCAAGAGCATTTAAAAAAATGGAATCGGAAAGTGTCTGCAAGTAGGTTTCCTGGTTTATAGTTGTCTGAAGCAGGAGAAGTTTCTCTTATTTATTGTAAACCAAATAAAATCAGCTTAGTTCATGCATACTTGTCAGATGCATAAGGCTATTATACAGGGTGGCACAAAAGTCGCACACCACAGGAGATTTCACTGTTACACTACATTAATTTTTATTTATTTCTTTGCAGGTAACTGATGGCTGCAAAATTAACAAAAGATGAGAATGTGGAGTTGAGATATGTTCAAATAAAGTGTACAGTGAATCGAAGTGTTTTAATGTTAATCAAGTTTTCAAGGCTAATGATCCGAACATTTACTTTGATTTACCCTCTGGTGCGCAACATTTACACCACCCTGTACATGCTAGGATTCCATGTGCACAGAAACTTGTAAACTTGGTGGTCCTTGATGTTGAGTTGAAGGGTAGAATAAGGACCCAACTGGCTCTCTGCCATAATGCATGAAGCTGAATAGTTTTGTAGTTGACGTTGAAGGTTACTGTGAGGTATGTTCTCAGCTTGGTACACATGGGGCATCTATTTTCATGTTCCTAACAACTCTTGCATACTCCAAAATACAAAATTTCTGCCTCATTTTGTTCTGTCCTTGGTATTATCTGAGTATAACTATGCTTACTATATTATGTAATGTAGTTGAATGAAAGCTATTATTATGTAATGTAGTTGAATGAAAGCTATTATTATGTAATGTAGTTGAATGAAAGCTACAAGCAGAGCAGGAGTGTTAGAGACTCCATCATAAAACACTATGCTATACTCAACTTTATAGAAGCAAGCCTGACCAGATGACCCTGGTTTTCTTCAATAGTCATGCTTTCCATTCACACCATATGATAACTCATGCTGACTTTCACTATTGCTAATTTTGTCATAATGAAAGTTCATCTTTCATCCACATCCTGGTCATAAGTCTTTAACCCTGACAGTCATGAAATGATAATGCAGACAAGGTATGCACATTTTCCCTGGGCCTACAGGGTTAAAATGGCTGCTCTAGCTGCAGTTCCTGGGGTCAATTCCCAGTCTTAAACTTATTCAGTTCGCCTATGGGTTGACTTTATCTGATATAATTTTCACTCAAGATGATGTTAGACACAGCTCTAATGGAATGACTTGGGCTCCTCAATGGCTGCCTAGTGATATGCTGAATATCATCCATTAGCTCCTAGTGTGGGGGAAAATCCAAGATAGACAGATATGTGCAGAAACTCTAGTGCTTTTGTGCCTCTTTTTTATGAAGGGATGGTATGAATAGCAGCTGCCAGCAGAAGTAGAAACTGATTGTAATTCTTGTATTGCAGGTCACAGATCCTCCCTTCATCAGGAGCAATTCCTTGCTAAAGGGCTATTCTACCTCATTGAAACGAATTTTCTTTATGGACTTTGTCTCTCACCATAATCATATGGTATGATGGATGGGTATGAGGTAGGTTCCCTCTTTCATTCATCCATTCACCCCTCCCACCCAGACTATTGTTCATCTGAATCCAGTCACAAGTGCTTCTTACGAATTGCCACATGTGACTGTCGTGTCATTATGAGGTGTTGTGGTGGTTAGCAGGAAATGTGTCATTTGTGCCATTCATATTGTGCAAGTATAAGGATTCATTTCTGAATTAAGGAACTTGTTTGATACAAGGCACCCTGCTTTCTTTGAAGTTCAGGAGACTCCATATTTTTTATATGAGATAATTCTTTTGCATTGGAGCCTTTTGGTAAGATGTTTGAAGACTCTTCTTCATCTATGAAGATTATACCAATTCTTCCAGAGTCCTTTGTTACAAACATTTGACATTTTCAGAGATTTTTAATTCCAAAGCTTCTAGGGTGTTGGAGTGCTGGCTGAAGAGCAGTGTGTCTTGGATCTGTGACCCTCCCCGTTTTTATATTTGCATTTTGCATGCATGACTCTTATGTTCCTTTTAAGGAACTGCAAATGGGGAACACCTTGCCTGTCATTTATTGTCACAGGTTCCCTTTGTTTTACTACACAAGATCAGTTGAATCCATACCTCAGGGTTTTTATGCAAGATGTTAAAAATATAAAAACATGTCTTCCCAAGTGAGTCACATCTTTCCCCCAATCTAATTATGACTGAACAAGTAAGAACTTAGCATAAACTATCATTTAGTATCAATGGATAATTAGGGTCATTTAGTGCTGTTGTAGCACAAGGAACTGGCCAGATGTATTTATTACTGGGAAATCCAGAAATGTATTGTCAAAGTGCCCAGCCAGCTTTGTAGCACTAAAGTCTCAATTTGAGCTGACTCATTGAGGATTTCAAAGGGATATATCCTTTTTGTTTGCCATCCTCTGAGACATTGATAATAATAAAAAATACACACTCATTTCATGTGCATGCAGAACGTAAGTATCATTTATGCAGTACTGTGGAAGACTTGCAGGACTGGACATCAAACATTGATGCTGATGCAAAGTAACTGCATTTCTATGAACATCACTAGCCACTTCCTCATTCAAGGATCCCATTGCTTATAGAGAAGGCTTGAAGTGTAGACGGTCACTCATCTCATAAATTATCCACAGTGGTGCACTCTTTTTTTTCTTCAAATTTTCTGATTATTTAAATTTAATTTGCATATGTCCCTACAACTGATGCAACTGTGGTCTGTGTTCTGATGCAACTGAATTTTGCAATTGAGTCGTATGACAAACCTTTGATTGATTCTAAATTATTTCAATCACTACTTGCAATAATTTTATCTGAGCACAGTGTGACTCTTATTTCCATAATCATGCCAAGTTTATTTTACGTATACTAAGTATTTTTGCTCATGGGAAGTGTACCTTTCAGTGTTTTCTACAAGAGGTGTTTGCATGAAGGGTTAACATTTTTACCTCTCCCTGAGAGGTTTCCTTAGGTTTTATCTCAATACCATGCTGGTGCATTGAGGAATCTTAGGTGATGTGTTATTTGTGTCATTGGAGATAGGTGTCATGAGAAGTAAAAGTGTTGATTATTGGCAGCATTGCAGTGAATTTCAAGCTTTTTTACCAACCAATTTTTGCCTTCATTTCATGTCATTTGGAGTGCTGGTATTGATGATGTTTCAAATTTTATTTGTTCTGTTGATATTATTTCAGCATTGTTCATTTTTCTTCTTTTCGTGTGTGGCACTCATCTGGCCATATTGATGCACCTCCTGATCATGTACCTTACATGATCTCATGTCATGTTTTCCTTTCTGATCATTCCACTGACTGATGGGCATCCATGCACTGATGGGTATTTTGATAAGTATGACATTGATGTGGAAGTGATCAGATCATCAGAGATGTCATCTTTTGCCCCTGACACCCCCCTTCCCCTTAAAAATGCCCTCACCATCAGTAATACAAAACAGTGTGAGACATGAAGTGACATTTTGCTTTTCATCCCTGACCCCAAAGCGGCTGAGAACAAAGTCTTTCTCTTGACTCATTCCTTTGTCCTCTGCATGTCCTTCATTCAGGTAGGCCTGTCCCAGTCTGCTTCATTGTGATAGAGTGTATTTGGCCTAATAGACAAATTGATTTGTTTTATATGTGATACCTTATATTGAGATTTTACTTCTGGTTTATTCTAATTGAAGCAACATAATTTGAATTTTCTCATGTTGCTTCATGTAGAAACTTGGAATTCTTCAGTATTAAATGGGCTGGTCTGAAGTGTAAAATGATTTTTTTTTGCCTCTGACTTATTATTTGTCAAATGGATTATACTCTTTACCCTGCATATGCCTTGTGTGATGGTCAGTAGTGCTTATTTTCATTCTTCCTTCATGAAAACATTCCTTTTCATTGGTTGAGGTTATTGGACAAGTGTTCTGTGATTATTTGAATACTTGAGGAGTCATGGCATCAATTCTGCATATGTTGTACTGTTGTGTTCAAACTTTTCATGGCTGAGTGTTGCTTACAGTGCTCCTCAAATACCATGCATCCAATTTGGTGATGGTGTATGAGCTTTGAAGCATCTCACTCTCGTTGTCTCTGATACTGGTTCACCTGTGTGGTGGGTGGTGATCTCCAACATTCTTCATTCGTGATGACAGACTGTGATCAGCCGTACAAGACTTGTGATTTTATCACCATCAAAAATGGTACAATGTTGTTTTGATGATCAATTCAGAATAAATGTTTATATTTCCATGAAAAGTGTTTGTGTTTCCCATGTGAGGTTGATGATGGTCTCTACTCATGCTCCTTGATCAGTGCTGAGGCATTTGAGAGGATTTCTCACCTTGACAGGCTGTGAAATTCAGGGAATCTGTCTTCTACTCTCCATCTTTACTGAAGCTTTCCATATTTCTGTACTTTCTATGTGAGTGTATTTTCATAATGTTTCATTTTCTTTGATTTTGCTACTCTCATCTTTTTCATGATTTACTGTTCCTCAGAATGAGCTACAATGATGACTGGTTTAATTTCTTTTTGCTTCTAATTGATACAATTATCATCAGCACAGTGTTTCTGATCATTTCATCATGTCCCTGAGTTTCTGCATATCATATGTACATCTGACACTTCCTCTTTTATGCAAAAATTTATTGTGCATGTCTGAGAAGTGTTGAGTTTCCTGCTTCATGATGAAGTGGTTGATTCCTTTGAGGCAGGATGTGAATGAAGTTGAGTGAATAGACTGGCCTCGTCAAGGGTTGGTTGCATCTCAACACCAGTTCCATTGTGTCTTATTCATTTTTTTCTCCATAGAATGTCAATATATTTGAATTTTTAATGGTGTCCTCACTTTATCTTGACCAGTAGTTTAAAATATATTTTATTGTGAAAATTTTTGCATTTGAGCCCTTAGCTTAACCTCTTCTGATCAAAATACTTTTCTTTTGATGTGTCAGGTATTTGCCCCCTCTTCCCTATTTCATGTGATCCTTCCAACTTTGAATCCATAATGGTATTGAAGTGTGATCATGAATTTGACAATATCCTCTGCTAAAGAATTAAAAAGACATTATTTGAATTATTAATTGGTTGGTGATCCTCTGTGCTATTACTTTAATGATGCACTAGTGCTTTTTTAAGTACAGGTGCTGTTGCCACTCTAGTTATTGATGCTAATGTGAGTTTCATTAGAGGTTTTGATTTCTGGATTCTTTGCTCAATTACCCAATTGATGTGCAGTGATACCCTTTGAAGCATCAGCCTTGAGCATTAATTTATGTTAATTGATATGGAGTGCTCTGACCTCGTGGTCTCCTCAAAAGAAGAGGAACTCAAGTGTGAGATCTGTTGGTGTGTTGACTTGCACAAAATGTAGGGTGCATATATGTGTCATGTTAAGGGAATGGAAGGAGACTTTGAAGAACACGTCCGGAGCCGTATCGCTTCCATGATGGTCCCAGTCTCTGCTCCAATTGCTGGGGTCGTCTGTGATCATCATCTAGCTTCCCAGATTGGACTAGGTATGGTAAAGGCTTCTCATTCTCTGGTTCTGATTAGTAGTAGGCCCAGAAAATATGCCTCAGTGTACAGGCTTTACAACATGCAAAATTCCACCCTGTACATTAATTTGCTGCTCCATCACAGTGGAAATGTCATTGGGACACAGACTGATACTCAGGCACCACAAGAAGAGTAGAGGCAGTGTCTTGCTTGTAGATATGATTGGCAGTGCTACTCATTGAATATATTCTGTTTAGTCTGCCAGAAAGTGCAGCATTTGAGAATATATTCCAGAACATTTTGACTGGATCTTGTGGAATTTTTTCTCTCCCCTTGGGCTTTCTTCCACTTAGATGTGCTAGCATGCACTTCTAGATTGATTTGTGTTTTTTCCATACAGACATCCTGAAAGCAGGTGGAAATGCAATTGAGGCAGCAGTGGCTACCTTCTCTGCTCTAAGTGTCCTGCAGCCCTGGAGCTGTGGACTTGGAGGCGACATCTTCTGCATGTTTTATGAGAGTTCCTCACGTCAAGTCCATGGCATCAATGGATCGTGAGACTGCTTCCATTGAACATCAAGAGCTTTCCTGTGTTTCAGTGAAGGCTTAGCTGATTTGTTTCTGTTTTCAGTGGTCGATGTCCAATGTCTCTGACCCTGGAAAAGTTGAAGGATGAAGGATACAATGAGGAAAACCCTCTCCCACAATCACATCCTTTTTCAGTCACTGTCCCTGGGGCCCCTGCTGCAATTCATGACATGCTTGCCAAATTTGGCTCTGGCAAGGCATGTTGAATTTGAGGCTGATATTTCCATCTTAATCAAGTATATATTTCCCATCAATGCTGGCCTGTTCCTGTATCACATGAGATTACTCCCAGTCCCATGACTGTGCCTTGGGGTCTCTCAAACAGAACTCAATAATTCACAACTTATTATGCTGAAGGGCAGATGAGTTGAGGTCGATCCTACTTTTTTTCAAGTCATTCTTCCAAGCAACTGCCCTGAATGTGAAGTAGATTGTTGTACTATATGAAGTATTATTTAATACCCTGTCTCCTTCACATTCACAAGCATACTAGGACTGTGAGGACACAATTGCTATGTTTTTGATGCACTAACTTAGAGGTAAAGTTGAACATAATTGGGCCTGTGTAATAGCTTACAAGATTTCATGGTAAAATGTCATTAATAGATATAATCTCAGTTGGATTGAATAATCCAGTTGCTTACTGTCCACTGTAGGTATCCTTGCAAGCTCTAGTGGAGCCATCAGTGAAGCTGGCAAGGACTGGATTCAAATTGACACATTATTCATCAGAGCAGTTTCGCAGAGAGATGACCAAGCTCATTGGGACTAAGCATGGCTTTCAACTCCTTCTCCCTGCCAATATGAAGGATGGCTTGGTTAAGAACCCTGGCCTTGCTCAGACTCTTGAGGTGATTCTGGATTCCTCTTTAAGATGATGCTGCTGGAGAAGGACATTCCTGCCCAAAGGCTGGCTTCATTCCAGATCTTTGGCACTGAGGGGAAGCACGGCTTCTATGAGGGTGAGGTGGAGGAGTCCATAGTGGGGGAGCTGGCGCTGGAGAACCAGGGTGAAGAGGTGATGACAGAGGAAGACCTGCTTTGTCACATCACAACATGGGACCATCCCATTCGCTGTGACTACCGCAAGCAGATTCGTGTCTGGGAAATGCCTCCCAATACCCATGGTCTCATTGTCCTCCTCACACTCAACATCTTGGAAAATTATGACATCAAACGTGAGCATCAAGAATTTACTTGCATCAGTTTTCCTTAAAATCCTGAATCCTAAAATCTCTTCATAATTTCTTGTTTTTATAGTAATTATTTCTCTTCTGAAGCTGTTCATTCCATTTTCAAAGCATGCTATACAATGATTTTCTTATAATTAATATATTTAATGAAAATTTGTGATTTCTTTGATGTAATATGTAGAGTTTACCTTATCAATCACTTTCAATATTCAAGTTTGCTCAGATTTTTCAGTAGAAGTTATTTGAAATTTTAGCAACATGCTTATACTGAAACCTGGTGAGATCATCCTATTAAAAGGGACATTCAAAAAGTTCCTTTTAAACCTTTTTAAATTGTTATTTTAACCTTTTAATAGATCTTTATCTACTTGTAAAACTTTTCAGGCTTGGAACGATAGCCCTTGGAAAGCCCTTTTTCAGGACTTTCTAAAGCTTCTGTTTTAGACACTAAGTGAAAATTGAGATGTAGGTAAAATGTAGGTAAATTTATATATTTTATTCTATGAAATTGCAAACCATTGCAATTTTTTTTTATTACTATTTTGAGTGCTTGTGCCCTCAAGAACTTGTACTTCTGTCCTGCAAGTTTGTGTACCACTGCCTCTCCTGTCCATAAAAACCATCAATAGTCATTTTGTTTTCCACCTAGGGGAAACAAAAAGCTGAACAATTTTAGTCTAGTAGTAGTTCTCTCAGTGAGTGCTGTGAAGAGGAGGGGAATATTTGTTAGCATGACAATTGTAGAAGAGGTTGGAAGATAGAAGGGAGCAACTTATATAGTTGCCAGATGTGGCATTTGATGAACTTCACCTACATATACCTGCTGCAAGTCAAAAATGGATCCAGCAGCTTCAAAGGCTGGAAGGGATCTGACAGCTCTTGTTGTTGACACTTCAGCCCCATGCCAAGGAACTCAGCCTGCACATTACATCAAGATTTAAGAATAGTGATAGCCATTGATATCTTTCCAGCAGGGTGTTACAATTACAATTTTAAAATTATCCCCCAAAAATCTGTATTTGGCATGAATTTCTCCAAGTATGAACTTCAGTTGTTTTTGAACATATCAGATAACAAAAAGCTGATATTTTTCCCATATTTGTTCACATGGCAATTTTTATGAAGATTGGAGTGATATTGTTCCAGTTATAGTCAGATTGTGAAGGTGAGTAGCTTGCTTCCTCTTGTTAATTTTAAAATTAAACTGGGAAGTTTGTTTATGTTGAGGTGGGTGCAGCATACACAGATTCTACACATGTTTCTTTTTTACATAAGAAAGACCCATTTCAGGACAGACTTTAACCTATGTACAAAGAATTCTCAAGGTTTAAAGAAGCATTTCACAAGCATCCTTCCAACCATCATATGCATATCTCTTCTGTCCATGCTATCACGGGGCAATTGGGCTGTCAATTAAAAATTGTCAATTGCTACCCTAAGAATTACACAAGGATAGTATGGACAAACCATGTACCTATATGGTGGTAATGACTGCCACTTACAGCTCCAACGCTCCCCTCCTCCAGCTGTATGTGCACTCATGGATGTGGTATGAGTTGACCTTATGTGATCTCATTCCTGCTTGAGATAATACCATATGTGACTCAAAAGGGGGCCCCTGGTCCTCCTACGGACTCTAATTCCACTCCTGTAAGTCAGTGATTATACTAATATACTATAGAAAATGCTGGACAAGCAAACACATAGACCCACGTTCAATATTTTGTGGTGCCTCTTTTTGATGTGAACTGGACAATGGTGGTTAGTTGCAGTGATGGCCTTTAAGGCTGGAAGGGATCTGACAGCTCTTGTTGTTGACACTTCAGCCCCATGCCAAGGAACTCAGCCTGCACATTACATCAAGATTTAAGAATAGTGATAGCCATTGATATCTTTCCAGCAGGGTGTTAATTACAATTTTAAAATTATCCCCAAAAAGTCTGTATTTGGCATGAATTTCTCCAAGTATGAACTTCAGTTGTTTTTGGACATATCAGATAACAGAAAGCTGATATTTTTCCCATATTTGTTCACATGGCAATTTTTATGAAGATTGGAGTGATATTGTTCCAGTTATAGTCAGATTGTGAAGGTGAGTAGCTTGCTTCCTCTTTAACCTCTTGTTAATTTTAAAATTAAACTGGGAAGTTTGTTTATGTTGAGGTGGGTGCAGCATACACAGATTCTACACATGTTTCTTTTTTACATAAGAATGACCCATTTCAGGACAGACTTTAACCTATGTACAAAGAATTCTCAAGGTTTAAAGATGCATTTCACAAGCATCCTTCCAACCATCATATGCATATCTCTTCTGTCCGTGCTATCACGGGGCAATTGGACTGTCAATTAAAAATTGTCAATTGCTACCCTAAGAATTACACAAGGATAGTATGGACAAACCATGTACCTGTATGGTGGTAATGACTGCCACTTACAGCTCCAATGCTCCCCTCCTCCAGCTGTATGTGCACTCATGGATATGGTATGAGTTGACCTTATGTGATCTCATTCCTGCTTGAGATAATACCATATGTGACTCAAAAGGGGGCCCCTGGTCCTCCTATGGACTCTAATTCCACTCCTGTAAAAGTCACTAATATGATTATATGATATCTTTTACGACCTGTTCGTTTGTGTATCTGGGTGCAAGTTATAAAACACCACGGAGAAAAACTACACTTGACCTGTTACCACCAATCAACGTCACTACCGGAACAACAGACACAATTAATTTATTAAATAATAAGCTTAATATTTTGACAGTATTTGTTTCTGCTACATGACTGCTACGACTTATTCTCATTTTCTGTTTCATGCCATGAACAATAGAGTTGTGTTGGTCCAGTCCCATATACCTCCATTGCCTCATTGAAGCATTGAGACTGAGCTTTGCAGATGCATTCAAGTATGTGTGTGACCCCAAGTTCCATGCCATCCCAATGGAAACCCTCCTGTCTAAGGCCTACGCCCTTCAACGCTGGAATCTCATTCATCATGGACGGTATGTCCCCTCAACTTCATCCTGGTATCTTTGGATTTCTTTCTTTATCAGATTGTGGAATCTTGGTCTGTTTTACTAATGAGAAGAGCAATGGAGGAAGTGGGAACCGGGGCTGAGACTGAAACAGTCGTGAAACTAGGGGCAGATACAACATATGTGACAGCTGTGGATGGAGAGGGCAATGCCTGCTCCTTCATTGCTTCCAACTGCTCTGGTGTCGGCTCTGGGATCGTCCCCGATGGGCGAGGGTTCTCCCTCCAGGTCCTATATAATCATTCAATCAAGAACCAAACTATCTTACCGACAGTCACCCAATTGAGACCTGTTAAAACAAAGAGGAGGTAGACACTGACCGTTGGTTCGGAATAATACAAACTAGTTCTAAACAGTGAATAAAGTTCCAATATTTTAGCCATTTAGTAGCTAATATGTAATTATCCTTCCTAAAAATGAGGTCCATGATCTTCTGCTGTTGTGCCATACCTCTACATTGTGATATATACATGTGCAGCTGTGGAAAGTCATGACAGAGCTTTATTGTGTGGTGAAAACAGAACCGGGGTCTGGCATTCAATCTGAAGGAGGGACATGTAAACAAGCTTCATCCAGGAAAGAGACCCTACCATACCATCATCCCTGGGATGGTGACTGACCTGAAGACAGGTGATGTCATTGCATCTTTTGGGATCATGGGGGGTCCCATGCAGCCACAAGGACATGTTCAGGTTCCTCTTGTACCTCTTCTGCCCTGATTCACCTGTCACAATGGACATATTGAACTAATGGGTTTCTCCTGTTCTTCAGGTCCTTTTGAACATGGTAGACTTTGGCATGAACCCACAGCGGGCACTCAATCAGCCTCGTCTTTTTGTCGACGTATCCTGTACCGGGTATTTGATTTTCTGGCTTGTAGATCATTGTCTTCCATATGTGCATTAGAGTTATGCATATTTATGATTCCAGAAATTTAATGCAGTTTAAGAACTTCTGCATTGTCATTTGATAGATTTTCTGCAACTATATCATATTTTGACTCCTTTCTTTTTGAGATGTCATGAATGGAATAATTGCCTGACTTGACATCATGATGCCAAATTAGAATAATGTAATGTTGAAAAAGAAGATGAGTATTCACACCAAAGTTTCTTGATCTATGCCTTCACTAACAGCATAAATAGTGCACTATGTTGAAAGCTCATGGGCTTTTAAAATTATTTACTATTTCTCAAATAT